GGAAGGAAGGAAGGAAGGAAGGAAGGAAGGAAGGAAGGAAGGAAAGAAGGAAGGAAAGAAAGGAAGGAAAAAAAGAAAGAAAAGAAAAAAAAGAAAAAAGGAAAAGAGGAGGGCTTTGTCCAATCTTCATCCAGATACCCACTCTTGGTCTAATGAACCGTGCCCCAGGGGGCAAGGTCATCTTATAGAGCTAGCTTCTGGGAACTACCTGCTGCTACCACAACAATCACACAGGGAGAGTTCTCAGAAATGGGAGACCAAATATTTACACTCTTGGTTAGGCAGAAACAAATTTTCATCAACTGCTTTTATTTCACTTTGTATTCCAACTTCTAACACTGCAGAAAATGGAAATGAAGATTACCCAGTGAGTGCTGCTCGTGTGTGTGTGTGTGTGTGGGGGGGGGGGGTGTGGGTGTGTGTGTGAATGGCACAGTATTAGAAGGAAGAATGTTCTAAACGAATTTGGGGATTCCATTGTCTGTCATTAGCACAGATAAATAAAGCTGCTGGTAAACATAATAAACATGCGAACATCAGGATTTTGGCAGATTTTGACATAATTTTTTGAAACTATTGCCTTTGGGATACATCTTGTCAAAGATTTGGTAGTACATCTAATTTAAGTTTAGTTTATATTTAACATGTATTTTATTTTCAAAAAATCTCTTTGGGGCAAGCAAATAAATGAACCAAAGGTTAGATTCATGGGAATGTGGTGACCTTAGGTATCCTTGGAACTTTGATTTGCAAGTGGCCATTCATTCCTTCTACTGTTCACCAATCTAAAGTCATTCAGTTGGATAGAAACTAGAGCTTATACTGCTAAGTCCTGAGTAACAGAACATTTCATCATATATTATATCCCCACCTCACAAGCTTCTCTGTCATCTGGAGAGGAAAAGCTGCACACCCTGAGGTAGATTCATCCACCCAGTTTTCCTGACAGGCATTGGCACATTGTATCACTTGCTGATATCATCCACAGTCTCCCCTCCCATGGAAAATACTATTCTATGCCTGTCGTACACCATCATGAGTTTTTCTTATAGTGCCCAAGCCTAAACAGTCTCTCCTTTGTTGAATTTACCAGGTGCTTAAGAAATGTTTGTTGGTGAGTAAATTCCCTTCATGTATTTATCACAGTGCCTTTCATCTGACACTTTCAAACACAAAATCCTAACCAACAAACAAGGTAACGTGTCTTGTCTACAAAGAAAGTCTGGCACCATATTACACTTCCTTGTTTTTGTCTCAGGAAGCAATTAGTACTATATCTGGTGCATTATAATACATTTAATAATAATTGTTAATTACTTGATCAGTAAGGACTCAGTAATGCCAAACAAGTGCCAGAGAATGCACCTTCATTCAACGTTCACCCAGCATTGCTTAAGCCCTTGGAAGGAGACATGTATTTAAGTTCATACACAAAACTCCCAAACACATTGTTTTTTTTGTAGGTCCTACTGACGATATGTATAAGATTTAAAAAACAACTGCTTTGTGATGTAACGGGGCTTAGAGGATTAGGAAACTGTAGCGTGATGTTTTCAAGTTAGTTCACTTTCTGGTTTGGAGTATACTAAGATTAATGGAGAATGTGGCAATCTCTACTTCAAACCATTGAGCTCCAAATTTAGTGCCAGGGTGGCAAGTACTGCAAGAAAAATGGCTATTACCCTTTTCAATTTTAGGAGCTGGTAAGTCACATTGCTTGTTTTCAGATTAGCAGATGTTTGTCTCTGGATATTGCCATAAGGAATGCTGTGTTTATTCAAATAAATAGATTCCCTGGCTATGAATGATGATGAGCTTCAAACATTTTTCCTGTGGCTTATACACATGTACAATCACAAACACACACTCTCACACTGACACACTCTGCATTCTTATTTTTTGTTCTTTTTCTTTTTGAAAAGGATCCAAGTTACCAATAGGAGCAGTTTCTTTGTTTTCATAATCTTCTTTAATGTGTAGGATAATTGAAAGTCTATGTACATTATCTGTGAAAAAAAAGTTTATTTAGCAAAAAAAAAAAAAAGATGCAATTTTTACACCCGTATTGGAATCACAGTTTACTTGGGTGTGGGAATGAGGTTTTCAGAGACAATGAGAGGGCCCCCAAAACACTAAACTTTACCTTTATGGCTGGAATTGTCTAACTTAAACATTTTTTTCTATGCATAATACCCTCTAACATGAGTTTGTTTTAAAATTGTGATATATTCTATTTCTTCTAGTGCTGCTGTGATAAGGTGGAGGTGGGGTGTTACTTTCCTTTTACATATCTGAGCCAATAATTGGAAAAATTTTTCTGACCAAAAAATATGTCAGGCATTTTAGATTTTTTTTTTTAAATCATTACACCAACCAGTGATTCTCCTGACATCAACATGTACATGCTATCACATGTTTACTTCTAAAAACATCACCTAGCTAACATTTTACTTCCAAAGTTGCAAAAATTATGCACTGTCTGTGTTAGATATTTGCATTGCAAAATACAGCACAGTGAACTCTTCGTCATTTTCCAAAATTACCTAGGAATATACAATAGATGTATTTTTCCGTCAAAGCTGGAAGGATGAAAGGTTAAAATTTAAAGGGCCCATGACAGTCCTCCGGTTAAATAACTTAATGGCAAGTAAAATCTGGACTCCGGACACGTTTTTTCACAATGGAAAGAAGTCAGTGGCCCACAACATGACCATGCCCAACAAACTCCTGCGGATCACAGAGGATGGCACCTTGCTGTACACCATGAGGTAAGGATGACTGCACTGTCATTCATGAATGTTTCTGTACTTCATTCCCTTCCACCTGTAAGCAATCATCAGGCTGATGAGCCGTGGTGGAATATTTGCTTCCTTGTTTTTCAGCCTTAACAATGTTAAAAATCTCTCCAACCTGCTCTAATTCCCTCAATAGAGGATGAAGTATTATTTATGCAAATGTTTATTTGCTTACATCTAGTTTTATTCTTAAATAACTTTCTGTAACTAGGTGGATTCAATATAAGGAACTTCCTCTCTCTATTATAAAACTCATATATTCCTGCATTCCAGGAAGATCTAGATTACATTTCTAGAAGCTGTCTAATGATTTATATCTGAAAACATTCCTACTAAAAATGAAGTAATAAAAAACAGAAAATATGGAAAGTTACAAAATTCATAAAACACAGATTCATGTAGATATAGGTATTTGAAGAAGTATTTGAATTCACAATGGCTTTGATAGCTAGATGAGAATATAGATACTATTAATTTTGCTCAAACTAAAGACTACACATACATTTCTGTTTTATGAACATTTCCCCCTCTTTAAGATTGCTGTAAAGCCCAGCATCTATTAAGTGTTCAATAGCTTATGATTGAATGAAGGAAACATGAATCAAATAAAGTTTTGAATATTATATAGAAAAAAAGAGATGTTTAAAAGTATTCCTCATTTATGAAAAATTAAGAATTATCTGGAACTCATTCTTGAGAGCAGCAGTAGTTTATTCCCAGATGACTTGTTAGATACGAGTTTTTTACATTTGGTCAACACTTAGTAATTCAGATTTTTCAATTATTTCTTTGGTACAAAAAGATAATGAAGGCAAAATGCTCAATTTAGTGGATTGTATGAAAGTACAGTAATATTTTATCTTTGGAGAAAGTTGCCAGAATGCCTAGCTTTTCAAACACAAACATCCAAAAGAAAAGAAAAGAAAAGAAAAAATGCTTCAAGAGACATTTTAGGTATTGAGCCAACGAATGGAAATGTAATAGGACTTAAAAAAAAATCTAAAAGATAGAAATAGAGGACCAATGAGCACATGTGTTGAGAACTTTCTAGATTATCTAAGCAGGACCTACTGGTATTTGAAATTTGAAATATTCTCCCCCGATGAAACACCCTACACTTGGCTTTGAGCCTAAATCCAGTATTCATTCTTCTTCGATGGCGATTTTCTGAGGAGAGACTTGCATATCCCAAGTAGTTTATTGATTAATGGTTTCAGATGTATGCAATGTTCTTCATCTGTATCTTTCATCACCTAAAATTTTCCTTTACTAATGTGTTTTTACTTTCTTTAATAATTTAAGAATGCAATTTAATCATTAATTTAATTTAATCATTAATCATTAATTACACTTTGTATATTTGGCTATAAATCTATCTTATTACATTTCTTGAGCTACTTAATATAGGTAAATATACTTGCTAAAAATCATATGGAGGGCATGAATATACATTTCTTTACAATTCTACAAACTGAAAGCAAATATATTTCAGTGAACTTCTTTCTTAGAAATCCAAGAAAACAAAACAAAACAAGAATAGATTTCACATCCACAGAACATCCCAGAGACTAGAGAGAAGCACAACAGAGTCCTAGCTTCAATTAGATGGTGGGTTTGTAAATAAAACCAAATGGTTTGCAAGTAGTGAGACCATATATGGAGACGTTGTATTAATCTTAATCTCACAAAGCCTGAGGACACATCCCCCTTCAGCTTTTCTTTCCTTCTTTTATGCATTTGGTGCTATTTTAGGGAAAGAAACAGAGAGAGATGCACTTAGGAGAAATTCTCTTTTCTTCTGTGCTATCCATGTCTTCCTCTCAACCAAAGATAAATTAGTATTTACGCAAGTGTTTATTTGCTTACTTATAGTGTTATTCTCAAACAATTTGCTGTAGTTGAGTGGATTAGTTAATGGTTGTTTTGGAAAGTATTAACAAGGCTTGCCCATTGTACAGTATCAGGAGTTGCCTTTTTTCTTAAAGCAAACAAACAAAAGGATAGAATCCACTCATTATTGTAAATATGTATTTTTAGATCATTTGATTATTAACAGCTCAGCATAACCCTACAATTTATGCCTGCTTTGTTAATATATTTGCTACAGTTAATAGCATTCCACTTGTACTTATCAAGAAGTATCTAATCTATATGGCTCTTATTTGTATTCTATGTTTCCCTTAAGGCTGACAGTGAGAGCTGAATGTCCAATGCATTTGGAGGACTTTCCTATGGATGCCCATGCTTGCCCACTAAAATTTGGAAGCTGTGAGTAAATTTATATGGATTTTTCTTGATTGTGAGTCATTAAGCACGAGAGATCTCTAGCTATATCTGTGAGAAAAGCACATAGATAAGAGAATCAAGAAAATTTAAACAGCAATATACTGCATGGGCTTTCCATAAGTAGTGCTCTGTGACTTCACTTTTTAATGTTGCTTCAAGAGACAGGTTATTCTTTATCTACTGAACTAGAAAACATGGATTAAACTAGTTATTGAAATAATTCTATTTATGCTGAAGTTGTATTTATGGAAAAAGAAGTGAAGTATGGATGCTTTTACCTCATGGATAGTATTTTACTCTCTATTAATGGAGATCATTGTGTCTATTTTATATCTTTACTGACACTTGTTTGATCTTAAAAATAATTAAATTTGTTTACCAGATTAAACTGTTGGTAGATGGCAAAGGACAGTAAGTGTTTCTTAATAAGAAAGCCTACGCTAAACTGATGTTGCAAAAAACACAAATACCCTAATCATAGTCTTAGAAAATTAGCTGATATGTCTGTGTATCTCGTGGCATTAATGTATGTATATATATTAGCGCTCTTGAAAGTATCCTGGATAAATGCCCTTCATAATAACTTCCTGGGTTTCAGCTGTTTGAAAATATTCAGAAACACCTTGCAGGAGCCAAGAGAAAAATGACTGTGAGAGTCAGGTTCCCCGGTCTTTTCTTTACCCCTCTGTTTTCGACTGGTTTACATGCATGGAATGAGTGGGAATAATGTATTCTTGGTTTCCTGCAGGGGAGTTATGTACAAGGACTGAGTCAACTCCTGGACTACCTAACCGATTTTCTGTTCTCACTAGACAGGCAGTCTAAATGACTATTTTGGTGAAGATATGATTCATAGAAGAATAACAGTGGTAGTGTAGGAAGACAGAAAGTAAAGAAAATAGCAAAAGGCCTTCGGGTTCCTAGCAGCATCAGTCCTGGAGAGAGAATTTTATTTATAAATTCCATTTTGTACTGAAACTCAAAGATAAACTACTTCAAAAACTCTAGCTTAAACAGGCATTTGGTGGTAACTCCCTTCTCCCTGCTCTTTTTTTTTCCCAATTTAACATACATTATTTAATATGAACTATTATGTTTTCTCCTGAATAACAGACCCATTTGTAATAATGATAATATGTACTATATGTTACTTACATGTCATAGAGTATATTAAATATTTGCACATTTATAAGTTCATCTAAATCACAACATAGCCTTACAGTTAGGAAGATCATATGCCATAGTTTGCCTCAGACAGTACCGGTTTAAGCCTAATATACTGGCATAATTTTTTTAAGAGGCAAGGTCTTGCTCTGTTGCCATGGCTGGAGTGCGGCGGCACATCATGACTCACTGCAGGCTTGACCTCCTGGGCTCAGGCAATCCTTCTGCTTTAGGCTCCTGAGTACCTAGGATACAGACATGTGCCACCATGCCTGGCTGGTTTGTAACCTTTTTGCATGGTTGTGGTATAGACAGGGTCTAGCTATGTTGCCCCATCTGTCTCATACTCCTGGTCTCAAGTAAACCTTCCACCGTGGCCTCCCTAATTTCTGGGATTACAGGCATAGCCACAGTGTCCAGCCTGGTATAAATACTCATAATTCCCCCTTTTATCTTAGAAAAGTCCTAATTTGGAAAATGAACTGCATATTTTTAATGTTCATACAGGAATGTTTTCAGCAGTGAGAATAGCTGAAAAAAGGAGAGTTTATCATTTTATATAAGATATGTGAAAGTGAGTGTTGATAGATTTCTGATTGGTTCAGCATCCTAACAAGGCCACTGTCTTCAGATGTCTTTAGATTTTCCTTCTCATCACAAGGTGACTGCTGTAACTCCAGCCATTGCAACTCTGTTCATGATAGAAGGTAATAGTTGGTAAAAATGAAAGGAGTAGTGCCTATGTAAGAAAAGATAGAAACTTTCCCTAAAATCCCAATAGAAATCTACTTACATCTCATTAATCAAATGTCTCACATTGCCACTGATATTTGCAAAGAAGACTGGAAGTAAATATTTTTAATTGGACACATTGTCAACCTGAAGAATATTGGAGGTATTTTAAGAAGAGATAAATGTATAGTGAGTAGAAAACAGTGTGTCATATAAGAAAATTGAAGCTAAACAAAATAAGTAAGCTGTTTTCCACCTCAGAGTCATATGCTCTTTTCTTTGCCTGAATTACTCTTCCCTTGGTTCTTAGTATGGCTGACTTCTCTCTCTCCACACGTCGGCATAAATGTCATCTCCCTGATGACCTTATTGAAATTTGCTTACAGTCTCACCAGTCTTGTTGATCGCAATGCACATTTATTTTATACCATTTATCACGGCAATAATGATTCTTTTTATTTATTGTTTAACTTTTTATTGTCTGGAGACTATAACGTCATGAGAGAAAGACATATTTTGTTCAGCTTTTCCTAGCAGAAAGGCAAATACACTGTAGGTTCTCAGTAAATATTTATTGAATGGATAAAGGTTACAAGACTCAGGCTTTAAATGCCCTTTCACTGTTTTTTTTTTTTTTTTGAGACGGAGTCTCGCTCTGTCGCCCAGGCTGGAGTGCAGTGGCTGGATCTCAGCTCACTGCAAGCTCCACCTCCCGGGTTCACGCCATTCTCCGGCCTCAGCCTCCTGAGTAGCTGAGACTACAGGTGCCCGCCACCATGCCTGGCTAATTTTTTGTATTTTTTAGTAGAGACGGGGTTTCACCGTGTTGGCCAGGATGGTCTCCATCTCCTGACCTCGTGATCTGCCCGTCTCGGCCTCCCAAAGTGCTGGGATTACAGGCTTGAACCACCGCACCCGGCCTGCCCCTTCACTGTTTAAGCTTCAGAAAAGAGAGATGAAGACCTGTGGAGAATGAAACAGAGCAGACTAGACATTGAAGTGCAGGCTTTGATGGTCATGCTTAGTGGAAGGGAACACTATGGCTAGTCACCACTGCCTGGCATTGGCATGAGAAGAGGCAGGGGCAGTCCATTTGTTGTCCAGTCATTTCTCTGACCTGGCCTAATTAGCATATTTCAAAGGTGAAGAAACTGAGGCATGAGTGGGCTAAAAATATTTTGACTCATTTTTTTGAAGTAAACGTCTTGCCGAGATATCAGAGACAATAATAGGCAAGAGGAGTTTTCAATAATTTAGTGGAACACTCTGTAATAAATGTTTATGAGTATTCTGAAGCAACCTCATCCATATAGTGATAAAATCTAAAGTTGAGAAGCAGTTTTTCTTACCATTCTCTATTAGATTCTGATTGTTAAGGCTAACTTAAACTTTCTACCGGTTATGGATAAAGCTCTCTTTATAAAGCCAGCTAACCCGAGGACAATGCGCGTGATACAACTGTGATCGTTTCACTGCTTTTGAGAAATATACCAAATAAGGCTTTGTTTCCAAAAGAAGAGATTTGGGTTACAGATTCTGACATAAAGACCTAGGCAAAAGCTGAATCTAGTAAGGCCTTAATATATGATTGTTTTTTTGATCAGTTATCTAAAACAGTGCATTGTAAACACAGAGAGGGGAATGGGTCAAAATTTGAATGAATTCTGAACAATTTACGACTTTAGAAATCATTTTTTTCATGTGGTTCATACAAATGGAAACACAGAGACTCATAAAAGCAAATGATAGTGTCAATTAGCAGCTCTCCTGATACTCAGTAATATGCGTTTCCAGTGTTTTACCACCACAGAGTTCTTTCGTAACACCAATCAAAACCTTGTTGTCTTTTTCATTTTATTAATTAATGTTTTTGAGATAGGGTCTCTCTCTGTTGCCCAGGCTGGAGTGCAGTGGCACAATCATGGCTCACTGCTGGCTCAACCTCTTGGGCTCAAGTGATCCTCGTACCTCAGCCTCCTGAATAGCTGGGACTACAGGCACATGCCACCACACCTGGTTAATTTTTAAATAAATTTTTGTAGAGACAGAATTTTGCCATTTTGCCCACACTGGTCTCGAACCCCTGGGCTCTATAGATCTGCTCATGTGAGCCTTAAAAAGTGCTGTCACTGCAGAAATAAGCCACCATGCCCGGCCACCTTGTGGTCTTATTTTTAAAACTGTTTTGGGGGCAATATAATTTATTTGAAATTGTAACTTAAAATTTTTGGCTAACTAACTGAAGACTCTTTTTAACCTCACTTTTCTTATGCTAATGTCTCCAATTGAGTACATTTTCATAGGAACTACTTTCTGGTTACTAAAATTTAAGGAAACAATAGGATGTATCATCTTTGCTAAGGCCTTAAGTATATCTGTATTCTCCATCTTAAAATACCAACTTGCATCATGTGACTCTACCCTTCATTTTGGAAGGTTCTCATGGAGAGACATAGATAATAAGTCATCTGCACCTTCACAATGATGTCATGCTTGTATTAGATGGCCTACACATTTTCATATGCAATGGTGCTTCTATGAAATTGCAAGAAATGAGACCAAAATTATATAAAATGAAAGGCAATGGTAACACATTTTTCCCCCTCTACAACTATATTAGCAGCTCAGTAACAACACATGACAGAGGATAAAAAGATAGGGTGCAGACATTGTTGCTAACGGCAGTGCAATATAAAAGCAAGAGTTTCAGTTTGCTGTGAAATGACACAAGATCTAGAATTGGTTTCATCAATAATTGCATGACCACCAAGTATCTTGCTTGGCTTATGAGAATCTATCTAATATACAGTTTTGCCTAGAAAAATACTTACAAAACACAATAAAGTCAAATGAATGATATCCTAAGTCTTTATCTTGGTTTTTCCCAGTTATTAGTAATGTCGCTTAAACAAGTCATTTTATTTTTTGCCTCAGTTTACCATCTGTAAAATGCAATTAAACTCTATGACTTTTGAGGCATTTGCAAATTGAACATTCAATCATTCCATATTACCATAAACTCATTATGTCTTCTTAGGTAAGACATTTCCATTAAAAAACAATTATTTATCATATTAAAAAATTACTGAATGTGGTTATCTACAAATTGTAAGCAATACAGTCCTTCTCAAACTACTGTGCTCTCCCTGCTTCTAAGAGATTTGTAAATCACATTTTACAGCCCTCCTAATAGACGCAGTACTCCTACTATACACAATGCTGAAATGCTTTCATTTTTAAGACTATGAGGATAACCACAATTAAAAAGGAAAAGCAAAGATAAATTCAAATTATTCATGTCATACTTTTACATGTCCCATGAACCACTAAATTAAGTTTTAGTTCATTCTCTTAAACTTATGGAAAATTTTGTTTTTAAAAACCATCTGATTATAAATTGATACAGAAATGATGCTGGAACTGGCAGGTTACCCTTGTAAAATCGGGGAACACTGGCTACATTTTTCTGCATCACTCACCTCAGCGAAAAGTAATCATGTTAGAAGCTTTGTTTTTGGGACTGAGAGGCATGGCTCACATCTTTTTTCAGGAAGCTTTATTTTCATGTAAAAAAGCAACCACAGTTTTACACCCCATAATATTTTATCTGGGGAAAAAGTGTATTGGATAGAACACAAAAGCCTGGTTATTTAAGTGGGGATTGAGTCAAACAGAGGTGCATTATGACTTTTATGAACCATAGGCACTTGTGCCTTTGGAGGCCATTCCTCCAGGAAGAAAATTAAAATTATTTCACGACTGAGTTACTACAAAAATGAATATAATCCAGATTATATTATATTCACTTTATCTTTGGATTTAAAAATAAATTAAAATATTTTTGTGGCCTCCTAAAAGTATTGAGGGCCTTGGGCCCTGTGCCTAATGGAGAAGTTGGCTGTTGGCCAACGAGTCAAGCTCTTATCATAGGCCAACATTTACTATGATGCCTCCTCCTCAAAAACACTAGAAACAGCTTGCTTTTTCTAATGTGATATTTTCATAAGTTTTAAACCTCATTCTGTATCTAAATAGAAGAAAGTATGTACTATCATTCCAACGAAATGGGTGTTATAGGACTAGAAATCAGAGAAGGTATGGAATTCCTTCTTCTCTTTCTCTCTCACTCTATACAATCTCTCCCTCCAAACTGTGTGAATTATCTATCAGAATTATGACCTAACCTCTCATTAGGAGATGGCCAAGTTCAAAGTGACATGGCAAATAAAAATAATTGAGAAGAAGAGCTATAGAATGTAACTCACCATCATGGAAAATATCTATGAGAAGGATAATCAATAGAAAAGAGAAGAGTAAACTGAGACTTGCTAATGTACATGCAGCAAAATATCCAGTGATTTTTACATTTATCATGACCTTTGCATTTATCATGACCTTTTCCTGGCTTAACAATAATTTGGACCAAAGCTACTGCCTCTAACCTCATTTCATCTCTCATATGCTTCACTCTAGTCAAACTGGTCTTCCTCAAACTAGTCAAGCTTATCTGCAATAGAAGAAAACACTTGTGAGGCTGAGACAGGACGATTGCTTGAACCCGGGAGGTGGAAATTGCAGTGAGTCAAGATGATGCCACTGCACTCCAGCCTGGGTGACAAGAGTGAAACTCCATCAAAAAAAAAAAAAAAAAAAAAAAAAAAAGGAGAAGGAGAAGGAAGGGGAGTGGAAGGGGGAGAGGGAGTGGAAGGGGGAGTGGGAGTGGGAGTGGGAAGGGGAGAAGGAGGAGGAGAAGGAGAAGGAGAAGGAGAAGGAGAAGCAGAAGGAGAAGGAGAAGGAGAAGGAGAAGCTTGTTAGTTTGTCTGTTGGGCAAACTCTTCCCCAAGATTTTCACATGTATCTGCCCTATATATGTATAAATGTCACCTCCTCTGAGACAACTCTGTCTGAGCCCCTTACCTTACTTAGGATAAGTCTCCATCCCTTCATTCTCTATCCTTTCACTTGGTTGTGTATGACTCTATCACACTTATCTCTACTTGAAATTGCATATGCTTATATGTTTTTGTCCCCACTGCTACAAATGCATTTTCCATAAGATAAAGAACTTTTGTTCTTATGTTCACTACTGTATCCCCAGCACAATATTTTGTCCTTTGCAGATCCTTATAACCATTTGCTGAAAGAGTGAATAAATGACATAAAAAAAGTCTGAAAATGTGTTTTAGTTTTCATAAATTAAGGGATGTGAGTCCTTCTTTCCTAGCCTGCCCTCTGGAACTATGATATAGAAAATATGAAGCTGATAAAAGGTACTAACTAAATAAGAGAATTGAAGTGGTAAAATATGTGGGTTATTTTCTACTGTTTCCTTTTAGATGCTTATACAAGAGCAGAAGTTGTTTATGAATGGACCAGAGAGCCAGCACGCTCAGTGGTTGTAGCAGAAGATGGATCACGTCTAAACCAGTATGATCTTCTTGGACAAACAGTAGACTCTGGAATTGTCCAGTCAAGTACAGGTAAGTATGATTTTGTTACTTCAGATATGCAGGAAGAAGCAGAAAAATATTTTGTGAGAACTCAATGAGTCATTCAGTAACACAAGTCTAGGAGAGAAAACATTTCACTAAATTGGGCATCCATTGAGCTGGGAACTAATGTAAACACGGTAAACCTGTGACCTTGGACATGTCATTTAATGCCTCTTGACCTCTGTTTCTGTTTGTTTGTTTGCAAATTGAGAAATTGGTTATATGTGATTACTGTAGCACAGCAGGTAGCTATGTGAACTCTTAGAGATGAACATCTGGGTTAAATCCTTACTCCTCGACCTTGTCAGTTGTTTGTAGCCCCCTTGCAGGGTGGTTGGAAGAAATACATTAAATTCATAGAGAGCACTTATCACAATTCCTGACACATAAACAGCTTTTCATAAATAACTATTTGTATAGTCTAGGCTCCACTTATTACCATTAGTTAATGAATTTTGCCATATTTGTAGCGGTGATTATTACACGTAGGACATCAAAAAGCCAATCGTTCTACAATTTCATTTGTATCTCTAACCAAGCATCTTCCATAGCTAAAGCGAACAGAGTCATAACCACATTATTGATCACTCCATGTGGGAATTAAAAGTAGATGGCATGCCATCCTTTTTAGCGTAGTAACTGATTTACTAATTCTATATTCAAAACTAGACCAGATACTATGGAAAAGCTGGACTCACATCTTTCATGTTGTTTCAAACAATGAGATAAAAGTTTTGTTATTCAAGTATCCATTTTGTGCTATCTGAAATGTGATCATTAGACCAGATAATTGTAAATAAAAGCTGGACTCAAACAATTAGAAAAATATATGTCCCACAAAGCCTATTATTTACTGAAAACTTTAACAAGTGTCAACAATTACTTTTTCAAAATTATGTCTTTCAAAATTTAAGTTGATTTTATTCACTGTTATTTGTGATTTCTAAGGAAACATCATGTGGTAATAAATAAGAGGAGTGGTGCTAAAAAACTTCTTCCTCTGATTTCAGGCTTTATATTTGGAGCCTCACAAGCATAACACATTCAAATAATAGGTCAACCTCTCTTACTGTGATTATTAGATAAGTTCAGATTAACAGGATCTGTCTTTTGCTTGTTTTAAAGCCCCTGTTGCTAGCCTAGAAGCTTAAATGTTTATGTCTTTTATTTTTTAAAAAATGGAGACAGTTTTTCTTTTTTTCTTATTTCAAATCCAAGTGACATAGTGGAAAGGTCATAGGTTTTGTGGTGAGGAAGATGTGAACTCAAGTCCTGGTCCTGTGGCTTAGAAACCTTGTGACTTTGGGCAAGTCATTTGTTCACTTGGAAACTCTAGTATTGCCTAACTAATGACAGTCCTGTATTTTGTATTAAAGGTGAAATAATATAAAATATTGCAGAGTGTTATATAGTAGGTACTCAAAATGGTAAGTAAGAGCTGTTGCTGTAGTCCTGAAATATCCCAAAACATGAAAAATGCTCAAGATTTTTCTTTCTTACAACATACTATGTTGGAAAAAATACGAAAATAAGCTGTGTTCTGTGTTTACTTTTTAAAACTTGAATGTCATTATAAGCTGGATATAATGGCAGTCACTACAGACTAAATGATAGATAAGCTCAGATCTTGCTGTCATGGAACTTGAGGTCTAAGGGAAATTGAACACATAAACTATAATTATCAAAATTGGTAGTTTAAGTGCTGTGATTAGCATGTGTTTTTTTTGTGATGGAAGAGACCATATCTGTCTTCTGTATCCCTATTATTTTCCGTAGTAGTTGAGACATAGGAGGCATTGAGCAAATATTTTTAATTAATGAATAAAAAGTGAATCCAGCCTAAGATGATCTAGGAAGGATTGTTGCAGGGGTTGACTTCTCATTTTGTTAGTTGGAATATATTGGGGGGTAAGTAATCACTCTCTAGGATCCAGGCAGATCATATAATGCACACATAACTTTTCCTCAAGGAAATCTCCATCTATTTTTGTTAGAAAGGAAGTTGGAGAATGTTGGGAAACAATTCAAATGCAGTAGTATGCAAGCCATAGTGCAAATATGTATGAAGTCTCAAAGGTTGCTTAGAGGAGGAAATATTCCTACTCTAGTTTTAGCTTTAACAACCTTAGTCATGTTACGATAGCCCTCTTTATGCCTGAGATCCCATGTGTTCAAAATTAGAGGCTTAGTCAAAATAATGGAGGCCTTCCTCACCTTTGTCTTTCAAGGGATTCAACCTGTCTACATTCTGGATACTCAGAAAAAAAATATGCAGTCATTCAATAGAATGAGAGACAGTGGCCCAACCCATTGCCACCTATGAGGGTAGACTTCTTGGTTGGGTCCATTAGAAGTAATCATTCTGTGCTAGAGCAGTAAGTTCACCTACATAAAATAAAAGCTTTTTCCTGTCATCACATAGTGAGTATTGGTGGGTAAGAAGAATAATGAGCAAATTCTCAAATGGAAGCTCAGTTTGATATATGTTTCAACTCCACAATAACACACTGTATTACACTTCCTCTGGGGCCACTTTAGCTCACCAAGAATCCACCTTGATAGATTTCAGTAGAAAGAAACAGAGACCTTTGTGTAAGGGCTGCAGTGCTGTATTTTACATCTCTTTGTGGAGCCCGGAAAACATTAAAATAAATGACCTTGAGTACCATTACCTCCCTTTTTCTGCCAGAAGACTAAAGAATGATGGTGAGAGAGAACACACACATTGAGAATGACTAAATAAAAGGCATCTTCTTCTACTTTAAAATTATCCCTGGAGAGAGAATCATTCGATCCCCTTGGTAGTTTATAAAGTGTTGCCCTATTTGCCTGCCACCAACACATGTGAGAACAAACACACAATCCTACTGACCTCTTTGAGGTCAAAATATTTTCTAAATCACTTCATTAACATAAGAGGGAAAAAGATGGAAATCCTAGCACAATATTTGAATTTCTAGTTCAGTACAAATACTTTAGAGGTACAATTTCTTCCTTGGATTCTGCCATTAAATTTAGGAAAAGAATATTTAGTTAGAGCCTCAGTTTTAAGTGCACTTACTCACCTGGCAGAAAAATACTATTTGACAGAGTATATGGCAGAGAAATAAGCAAATGGGAAAGATGATCCAGTTGGTTTTCAAATCCAATGCGTCTTTATTATTCATTTGTTTGCCCATGTATTCCTTAAATTGCTTGTTCATTTACTGTGTCTGACACAGTGACTGGACTTGAAGAAGAGAGATGAAAGGCACAAATCCCCTGCCCTTCAGAAGCTCTTAGTTGAGTGAGATAAATAGCTAACATGCATTGGCATTGTTCTATTCTTCATATCCAATACTCACAAAAATCCTAGAATTTAGGTAATATTATTATTCCCATTTTACAGATGGGATATATGGGGGCCCAGAGAAGTTTAAACATTATTCCAAGGTCACACAGCTGGGAAGTGGCAGAACTAGGATTTGAACCTGGGTTGTCTACCTGCAGGGTATGTACTCTCAACTATATGTCATACCAATAACAGGCATCAGAGACACATAAGATGTGGAAGCATATTTGTTAAGAGTATGAACCCTGAAGTTATACTACAAAGATTTCAATGCTGGTTTTGCAACTTAATTACTGTGTGACTTTTGACAAGTCTTTTAATTTTTCTGGTTTTTTTTTTTTTTTGTATATATCTTTTTCATGAGCTATTGTGAAATGGAAATAAGGAAATGTATGTAAACTGCCTAGAAGAGTATCTGGTTTGTAAAATGTATGCACTAAGTGTCCGATATGACTATTAATAATAAGAGTAGGGCTGGGTGCAGGGACTCATGCCTGTAATCTCAGCACTTTGGGAGGCTGAGACAGGCAGATCAGATCACTTGAGCCCAGGTGTTCCAAACCAGTCTGGGCAACATGGAGAAATCCCATCTCTACAAAATGTAAAAAATTATCTGGCTATGGTGTTGCATGTCTGTAGTCCCAGCCACTTGGGAAGCTAAGGTGTGAGGATCACATGAACCCAGGGAGGTAGAAGCTGCACTGAGCCGAGATTGCACCACTGCACTCCAACGTGGGTGACAGAGTGAGACTCTGTCTCAAAATAATAATAATAAAGCTAGTATAAGGGAACTACATGATGGCATAAAGGAAGAAGAGGTCATTTCTACTTGATATGTTGAGGGTGGCATAACCCCTTGCTTCTTTCCACCCTCACCACATTATCCTTTCTAAGTAATTTTTTAAGGAGAGCCCATGCAAAAATTACTACAGTGACTTAAGGACATGAAATATAACTTATAAAGAAAAATAAAATAATTCAATTGGGCATGAAGCATAATATCAGTGTCCAGAAAACAATAATAAGGTAATGCCATGCAATGTTTTAAAAACACACAATGATGACTGCAAGTTCTCCATATTTACCTAAATAAATTTGATTATAAGAAAATTTGGTAAGTTTGGTGAAAAGGAAAGTTTCTTCTGAATGACTATTGCTAATCCTTAAAAGAGATGACTAAGAAACGTCGTAGGATTCTCTTTTTTGGACACAGAGTCTTCTCTGCATGAGTTGATGTGATGATGATCCTGAAGGATCAATATAATAAGAAAAACAACTGTCTTCTTTGACTAAGGAGTAACAATGGTGATCAGCATTCATCCAAAGAGCCAAGGGGCTTCCATTTATAAAGACTAGTACATGGTCTCCAGAGAAATAATTTTAACTATAGAATGCAAGTTCTGGGGGCAGGGGGAAAGGACTTCTGTGGTCATTTGGTCAAATCATTTATATTTCAAATGAGGACATGGCCCCAGCAAGGCTAAATGATCTAGAGCTACGATCAGTGTCCCCTTATCTCTATTTAGAATCTCTGAAGCAATTAGAAAACATAACTACCACTTTTGCAATAATATTCTTGATAGAAAAATCATTTTGCAATATTAGTATCCATAGAAAACATCAAGTTTAGAATACTTGCAAGGAAAATGACAGCTTCACAAAGAATCATGTTCAATACAATTTTGTTGAGTGACCAAGTCAGTTGATTCTCTGAGCTAGAGAGAGAATACATATCTGTGTTTTTAATCTTCATGCTGTAAATCTCCATAGAAATTGAATTTTTAAAAAGTACTTTCACTCATATTATGTAATTTTATCCTCACATCATCCTAGGAGACAGTTAAGTTAAATACTGTTAATTGGACAAATCAGGAAACTGAAGACAAATGAACCCACACAAGGTATTTACCTTCAAGTAACTAATATATAGGAAAGCAAAGATTGAAATCCAGGTCTAGAAAAACCTATAATGCTATTTTGGAAAATGATATTAGTTTCCTTTCTTCCACTCTCCTTAATTTTGTATTGCAATATATCAGAAATATTGTCACATCTAATTTAAAAGCTTTCTTCAGGGTTAAATAAACTGCAAGAATATTTGAATTACAATTCTCCTAGACTGTTGAATTAGAGGAAAATAATTTGACATGCTTTGTGCATAAGCACTTGATGTCTAGACATATTATTTCAATTCAATTTAGGTGACTGGGTTTTTTGTTTTTGTTGTGTTTTTCTTTCATTTTAAAGCTATTACAACATGATTCTGATATTGCTCCCCTTTTCTTCCTTATTTGAAAGTTTTGTGCCAACACTCTTAAAATTGTATTTAATTTAGGAAAAGGTTTCAAGACATTGGAATATCTTTTATTTCTCCTGTAATCTGTTAGGGAAAAAGTTGTTTATAAAACAAATATAATGTCAAGTAATAGCTCTTCAGAGCTCAAAAAATTATATTCTTTTCAGGATCTTTGCAAAAATGTCATGTTGAGAACAACAAAAGATAATGGAATGTATACACACACTCATTTTTCTGACATTATATAAAGATGAATTTTTTTTCTTTGAGCTGGTGACATTTTGCAGGCTGCAATGGAATGAATTGTTAGGAATAATAATGCACGCCCCTGAGATGGTGAAGTGTAGCATGGGTATGTCCACACAGGACTATATTTCAGTAGTGTTTTGGGAAAATTGTTTGTCTACATTTTTCTAAAATCTGGATCACTTCTTTCTTTTCAAATGACCTTAAACGTATCACTAGAGGAACACACAGAAAATAATGAGAAATTAATCTGGTAACATTCCATTTGTCCTTTAAAAGAAAGATGCTTGTGCATTTTGTTTTGATTGAGTGACTGTAAGCCTCAGTGGATCCATTTTCACTATAGGCAGGTATTAAATACCGAGGATATGGCCGGTCATGCTGCATAACCAAATAACTATTATTCTCTTTAATTAGCTTTCAGTTTGGTGGGAGGGGTATATGTAGTTAAATAACTAAAATGCAAAGTATGAGATATTATAAATATAAACAAGAGTTGTAAAGTTGAACAAAGTAAGTGTTCAGTAAAGGGCAGGTGCTATTATCAATAACAGTTAATAATGAAATCAGGCATAAGTACATAGATAACTTCCTGCTAGAGAAAGCAGGATGTGTTATTCTACCAACACTTTTATGAATTCTGATTGAGGAGAAATGTGAAGAAAATGGAGAAACAAACTAAAAAATGTTTTTAACATTTTAACATGGTTACATAGTATCATCTTAATTAGAGCTATTATTCTTTTTTATCCCAATATTGTGCTTCTGACTATTTTGTAAACAAGAAAACTAAGGACAAGAGAGTTTAAGTGAGTTACCAAAAGCTACACAGCAAGAAAATAGCAGATCTGGGTTTTGAAGTCAAATTCATTTGCTTCCAAAAACTAATACATTTTGTTCTATAGGACAATAATTTCTGTTCCACTGAGGACCTGGTACTTGGGCTGGAACCAGCCTATAGACAAGCAAAATATTCAGCTGCAGAAGATAAGTATACTTGAGTTTTGTAGGCCAATATATTGAGATGTTGAGGTGTTTGAAGAGACAAGGGAATTCAGTGCATATTAGAGCTATGCTATACATAGTCTTAAAGACAGATTAGGAAGTTTGCTTATTGTTACTTTGTAGAACTGGAGTCAGTTTACACTGTCACACAAGAGAGGGGCAACTGTTTGCTACTGGCCTCTAGTGTATAGAATCGAGCAATGCTGCTAAACATTCTATAATGAATAGGACAGCCACCTTCAATAAATGATTTTCTATTCAAAATTGTCAATAGTTCTGAGGTTGAGAAAGCCTAATGTTGCTAGTTGGACTCCATTAAGATATTTTAAGTTAAAAAAAAGAGTGGCAGACTTGCACATGTGAAAGATGACTCTACATCAAAATTTAGGAAAAATTGGAGTTAGGATGTGACTAGAGCCAAACAAGAAACAAAGAAGGCATGAAGGACTGGAGGCAAACAAGACACAGTCTACAAGGGAAATAAGCACAGTGACCATGAGGTCAGAAGAGATAGAAGCAGTGATGATGCCCAGGTGAAACTGAAATTGTGATGATCAGCTGAATCCTTCCTCTCTCTTTCCATAGCACTATCTAACATCCAGTGATTAATTCCTGGTTTGTAGCTTGAGTGAACCGACCAATGATAGTGCCACTAGTTAAGAAAGGATCTCAGTGAAGAAGCAGCATTGCTGCATGCTGGTCATTCTTTTGCAGAAAAAGTTAGCTATGAGAGTTTTGGACAAATCTAATTGGTGGTGCCAATGAAAAACCAGCATCTGTGGGATGAGATATTGTCTAGTCTAGTTTTGGGAATACAGATTAACTGTTAGTTATTTTGAAGATGTGGTCACTTACAGATGTAAATTTTGTAGCCATCTGCACATCTAGACAAAGATGACACTAGAAGCAGGGGTGAGAGGAAGAACTCCTTGTTACAGACAAGAGAAAGTAAGGAAGAGAGTTGAGGGCAGAATTATACCTCATTTTCTTCAGGAATCCCTACTTTTACTTTGAAGAAAAATGAAAAGAGTGGCCCAACAGATATAAAGAATTTGATAAATAATTTTTATTGAAATAATCAATGAGTGAGCAAAATAGATTAAAAATGAGATATAAAATGAAAATAGAAATCAAGTGTGTACTATCAATAAGGCTAGGACAGGCATTACTTAAAGCTGTGAAGAAGGTGTGTAGCCAGCTCCAGCTCCAAGACTGAGAAAAGGGCTTTAATTATAAAGATTAACAGGTTCTGAACAGTGGTAGTCACGTGATAGAGGCTGAGGTCAGAGGCACATAGACTGAGATAAAAATGTTAGGTCAAGTAGGGAGAAGTTTGAAGAAGAAAGGAAGGAGAAAGGTGAGTTCTAAAGAGAATGGTGCTTTCTTAGCCATAACACGTCTGTTTTTCTCCTATCCATCCACAGATAATTAACCCTATGTTCTGAGTGAATAAGGCTAAACAATTCTAAGATTTTTTACTGGGAAAGTGTAAAGCAAAAAGAGAAACAATAAGACCCTCCTGCAATTCGGGTTGTGTGGCTACTGCTTTATACCTCTAACTGAAGTCAGAATTTGGAGTATCTAAGGACCTTGGAGAGCGCCTAACTAAACCACTGTTTCCCACATCAGTCTAGGAACTGGGACACACTCAAAAGCTGGTTATAAATATACAGATTTTCCTGGCCATTCAAAGAATGGTTTGTAAATCTAGTTGGGATTTGAAGAACTGCATTCTTCAAAAGTTTTCCAGGTGATCCTGGAAAATAAATTCTGAGAAACAAAAGGTTCTAGCCCACTGTCTTTATTTTGTAGATCAGACCATGCTAAATTACTCATCTGATGTCAAAGAGATACTTAATGCAGTGCTGGAGCTAAAATTAAACTGTCCTGACATACACACAAAAGCTTCTTCAGTAGGTATTGTGGATCTGCTCTGTAACGGACACACTGGAGACCCATTGTCTGTTTCTGACCCATTGGTCTATGTCACAGAGTTTAGCATTTTGCCTTCTCTGTCAGTTTAAGGATTGGAAAGCCAGTCTTTAAATATAAACTCAAGTTTGTTCCTTCAATATGTGATGTATTTGAATTAAGAGGTAAGAATATCTTTAAAGACTCTGGCACCTCAGTCGTTTTACTGTGGGTTAATTATGTTTCTTTTATTTTCTGGATAAAAACTTTTTTCTCCAAGAACTGGATGTCACATGGAGAAAGGATGTGTCTAACTCTCAGATGTTTGGTACTCATAGTAAATCTCAGAGATTACTTTTTTCCAAGGTCAAATTGCTCATCTTTCTTGTCTGTTTTTCTTCTCAGGAGAATATGTTGTTATGACCACTCATTTCCACTTGAAGAGAAAGATTGGCTACTTTGTTATTCAAACATACCTGCCATGCATAATGACAGTGATTCTTTCACAAGTGTCCTTCTGGCTCAACAGAGAGTCTGTACCAGCAAGAACTGTCTTTGGTAAGTGCCAATCAAGATACACACCCAAGGAAAGGTATGGAGGATAAGTTATGTCATATCTGTGACATTGCAAAGAGAAATTTAAAAAAATTATACATTCAAATACGAAGTTCATACAACAGAAAGGTTCAAGAAATTGCCACCCTCATTATGGTATGTGGTTTTTTAAAAAACCTTAATTTAACTAGCATGCTGTTTTAGTGTTTATGAATAGATAGTATTAATGAACATTTGATTTGATATTTTGAGATAAAAATGAAGTGAATCAGGCACAAAATGCATAATATTAAAAATACATAAATAAAAACTTAATATTTAAATAATATATTTGGAATATATAACATGAGTCACTGAGTTGTTCGAGAAGCTTAGAAAATATCAGCAGAACTACTTATTTACGTTCATAAAGAGCAGGGTTTCTTTAAGTAGGGAGAGCTAACTAATGACCATCGTATCAGTACGGGAATATGTCACTTTACCTGATATGTGCACTTCTGTAGAGTTACATGCATTCATTTTTTCTATTATGACATTTTTAATGACCTACATGCTTCAAGTTAAGAAATATAATTGAGTATTGTTTAAAGGGTAAACAACCTTTTACTAATATGAAAACTTATTTCCTTATGCATTATTTTAGAGTGTGCATTTGATATGTAAAGATATTTCCTGCCTATATCCCAGTATACTATCTCAACTGTATTTTACAGACTGATAAAAATGAAAGACTCCAATACAATATCTTCTAGACACAGAATGCAGTAGTGAACTGAACACAAACCACCACTCTCCTTATGAAAATTGCATTCTGAAGCTTAAAATTGAGTAATCATAAAATCAAATACTTTTATACTAGGCACTATTCTATACGATTAGCCTATATTACTTAACCATAAAACAAATTCTGTCTGCCATTATTCTTTCTGGTTTTAAAAGTGAAATCTAAGAAACAACAGATTAAGTAATCTGCCCATAGTTAGGAGCTATTAGATGGAGCCAGGACTAGGACCCTAGCATTTAGCTCTGGAGTGTGTTCGCCTAATAACGATGCTGTATCATCACCTCTGAGCTATCCTGCTGCAATGAAAATAATTGAAATGGGAGTATTGTGGTTAACTTCATTTGGAAATCACAACTACATATTTATTGGTTAAAGGTGCAATTATCAAGGTTCATTCCACAAATATCAACTAGGCACCTGCTGTTTTTAAGAGCTGTGCTAAAGGATAAAAGCCTTAAGAAGCTTATAGTCTAAACTGAGGATTATTCACCTGAAGAAATGCCTATGATATCATCTTTCAATAATATGTAGTGTATGAAAAATCAGTTATCTCAGAAAAAAAACAGGACTCTGCTACAAGTACCAGAAACGTGTATTTTCTTCTGAACTTGGCAATATGCTTCTAGATTGGCAAACACCAAGTCATTGCTCTGACAATAGCCTAAGCATATAGCTAAATTAATATTCAGAATAATTGTAGCTGCAGAACAGAAGAACAGTTCATTGCATACTCATTCTTTTCCATTACCATGTGTCAATATGAACTAGCAATGAAGTCGCTGAAGACTAAGTCTTGTTAAGATGCTTATATCTGTGTGAGTATGCCTTTTTCTCACCAGGAAATTAAAAAAAAAAAACGCAGGACATATTTATGTTTTGTTTTATTTTAGTTTTGCAGTCTGAGTACAACACTATATTGAAAAAGGTTATTTTAAAAGGTGATATTCCCCTTCCCACACCAACAAATTCTACTCTTTTGATTTGAAAATTATTTACAGCATTTCAGATGGTGTAGGTCAGAAAATATTGCTATTAACTTTTTCAGCAATCTTATACCTCAACAGACTCATGGCCTTTGATGAACATAACTATATGTTTGTAAACTTAGTTGTGACAAGTATTTCTGTGTTTCAAGTTTTATGTTTCTAATATTTTAAGTTCACTAGAGTCACGAATACAATTTTCTAGACTTTTCACCTTTTAACATTTATTTTGTACACGTTTCTATGCTTTTTAGTTTGACCTCAGCACATTTTTTTTCCTGATCTCTGTGAGATGCCTAGAAGGATCATGTGGATTTAAAAAGAATAAAAGAACCAACCAAACAAAAGTTGTACTTGTTAGTATAAGCATTTATTAAAAGACATCCAGAATGAAACAAGGTTGCAGTCTATCTTACGCCTTAAAAGACCATATTCTTGGTTTTCCATGCTGTCTCTCATTTGGAGGCAATGTGGTCACTTAATTTTGCTGCCAAATACATCCAAGTTTGAGATTCAGTCTCACCACCTACCAGCTGTATGGCATTGGCAAATTTACTTCCTCTTATGGAGCTTCAGTTGTCTGTTAAATGAAAGTACAAGGAAAGTAAAGTAATGCTGTTTTTTTAAAAGTGAGACAAATAAAATAAAATATATACATTGTCAGGTTTGGTACTTGGAACTTAAAAGCTGTTCAACAAATCTATGTTCTTTCTCTTTTCCTATAACAGGAATTGTATTTTCCTATGGCACAAATTGTATCTTTATGTTAATCTTCTTAACTGCTCTTAATTTATGGACACATTTGGTTTAAAAATACCGATTCCCACATTACTTCTGACAGCTGACTACATAAACCAAATTTATTTTAAAAAATTGAATTTATTGTAGTAGAGATTTATCAAAAAAGACTAAAGTTGTCAATTATAATAGTCATTAGTTTTGCCCTTATTATCAGGCTAAGTGCTAAACACTTCATTGCATTACCTTACTTAATATTCATAATAGCCCTCCGAGTTAAACTTATTAAATCAACTTACAAGAAAAAAATTTGATAAACCCCAGAAGCTCAGGATTTTAAGGCAATATTCTCAAGGTCATTCAGCAGTTATAGAACAGGGATTTGAAATTCGGTTGCCCTGAATTTTAATTACTCTAATATTTGCTAAAGTTAATATTGACATGTAAATTCAGGAGCTTGAATTTACATGTCATTGCATTTAATCCTCATGATAGTCTTTTGAGTGAGTGAGCAAAAATGTCCTTCTCCTAGAATTTCAGCAATGGTATAGACACTGGAGAGAATGAAAGACAAGTCATCCCTTTTATAGATATGGGGACAGAGATTCCTACAAGTTAAATCACTTAGCAGAGGCCATAGAGCTAAGTGGTAGGGCTGAGACTAGTCACTGGAAGAGGTTAGAATTATTTCTAAAATACGTGGCCTGATCCACCCTGAATGGGTAACTGTGAACTGTTTTTTAAACATTTTCAAATGGTTTAAAGGGAACCTGACAGCATTATACTTTTGTGCTGAGTATAGTGCATTACATATAGCAGGTTGACAGTATTTGGTAAGTGAACATTAGAGGGTATCATCTTTCTCATACTAACTTATATAATTGTGTAAGTAAATCAAAATGGGCTAACTTGAAAACTTCTTTGAATAGAGGACATTTTAATCACTAGGGGTGGATTTGCAGAGTAGGAAAGATGAGGCAGCCTTATCAGAAAGAAAAAAAGATTGTAACATTTGAACAATTGTAACATTTGAACAATTGTGTTCAAATGTTGGTACTGCTACTTCTTAGCTGTGTATTCTCTAGCAAGTTACATAAACTGTATTATTATATATATGTGAGTGTGTGTATATGTGTATGTATATGAGATACACATGTCTCTATCTATATATGTCAGATTTAGGAATTTCTTTAAAAGTGGAGCTATTTTTGAATCAGGAAAGATAGTGTAAAACCATGAGTCAATAATGTCGCAATTATCCTCAAATTGTTCAATTATCTATAAATTATCAAAAAGTTATTGGCTTCCTGTTTTATATATTTGGGGCACATAGAATATTAAACAGAGCTGAGTATCCAGAAGTTGCTTGTGGATCACAGGCAGTGAAGATCTGTGATTTCTAGATCAAGAACTAGGTTCAGTGAGGAATATTATTTCTTGCCTTACCCAGGACACCCATGTTCAAAGTGCTAATTTAAAGGAACTTACTATTTTCTTAACAGCACCTCAATAGCAGAGAATTTTATTCCTACAAGATATCTTCCTCAGTGCTGCCATTCCATGAATCACAGACCACACCGGAGTTAAATTAAGACTTGTCAATTCCAAACCAAAATAAGATGATCTAGAAACCAAATTCTGTCATGATACTGTTGATTTCCTTTTGTTCAAGTAGGCTGTCCTATCATGGTGAAATTTCATAGTATGAACTGGCATCACGTATGGTTGTTTTTTTTTTTTTTTTTTTTTTTTTTCCCTTACAGGGGTAACAACTGTGCTCACCATGACAACGCTAAGCATCAGTGCCAGAAACTCCCTCCCTAAGGTGGCTTATGCAACAGCTATGGATTGGTTTATTGCAGTGTGCTATGCCTTTGTGTTCTCAGCTCTGATTGAGTTTGCCACAGTAAACTATTTCACCAAGAGAGGTTATGCATGGGATGGCAAAAGTGTGGTTCCAGAAAAGGTAAGTCCTTTAATAGTCACTGTAGTACATCACTATTATGTCTCTTTAAACCTATGAAATGGTATGTTTGGGTCTGTGGTCTTGGATGGAGTATGCAGAATAATAAGGATTCTTTTTTTCTTATGTCATAAACAATTAAGTGCCATGATAATTTCGTTATTGCTAAAGGGAGAGGTCATTCAGGTGAATAGATGTATAAAGTGGAGGAGATAAAGGAGAGATAGTTAGGCGAACATTTCTAGTCAAATATGCTTTCCTGTGGTTTCTCTTGATTTGAGAACAGTTTTGATAAACCTAATATTAGGAGCAAATAAACTTACTAAAATCCTTTATTTACCAAGTGCATTATAATTTTGTAACTTGAAAGTTATATTCTTTTGGTTATTTTCTGAGCCTAATCATTTGGTCATAAATGTATAACCATAATGACTCAATTAAATTAAGTTTGCCACATGAACCATCCCTAGTTCTCCGCAAAGTCAAGGGCAGGCACATTTTCTCTTTCCAAAATAGACATATGCTTTAGGGATCATAACACACAGAAAATGACCAAGAATGCCTCATGGTAGAAAATGTTCAAGTTGAGAATACTGCTGCTTCCCTCAATTAGAACCTATTACACAGTATGGATTTTATGTCACAGCTTGGGAGGATAACTCTATTTGTGGGGTTTGAAGAACAAGCATGTCAAAATGCAAGTAAACTTTGGGATGCTATGATGAAGAGCAAAGACAGAGACAAAGAGATTTTAAGATGTTTAGAAATAATCTAGAAGGAGTCACTTGACAACAGCTTTTCTGAAACTTGGTTCTACCGAATATTAGTTTCTTAAGATACTCCCTGAAAATTCAGTTCTATGTTGATGCCCTCTTGAATATTGCTACATACTGTATTTCCTGGTCACAGCATATTAAAGAGGCTTAGAAGTTCTATAGTAAATAAATTGTTTTAACTGTGTTCATCCCATAGTTACACAAATGCATTAGATAAGAAAATCTTCTGTAGTGGTAACATTGACCATATTTGATAAAATCTAAGGTGCTGCACTTCTTGATGACAAAAGGCTATTAAATACTGTCTACATTTTTAATTTATTGTAATAAGACAGGCATACATTATGTTTTTAAATTCTTAAATAAGGCGCAGATTTAGGTTGCAAAATTAGGGCCACCTTGCTCAGCAACTTATACTTTTGCTTCTCACTGTTTACTAAACAAAATGCATTACTCTTTCTTTCTACAGCCAAAGAAAGTAAAGGATCCTCTTATTAAGAAAAACAACACTTATGCTCCAACAGCAACCAGCTACACCCCTAATTTGGCCAGGGGTGACCCAGGCTTAGCCACCATTGCTAAAAGTGCAACCATAGAACCCAAAGAGGTCAAGCCCGAAACAAAACCACCAGAACCCAAGAAAACCTTTAACAGTGTCAGCAAAATTGACCGACTGTCAAGAATAGCCTTCCCGCTGCTATTTGGAATCTTTAACTTAGTCTACTGGGCTACGTATTTAAACAGAGAGCCTCAGCTAAAAGCCCCCACACCACATCAATAGATCTTTTACTCACATTCTGTTGTTCAGTCCTCTGCGCTGGGAATTTATTTATGTTCTCAACGCAGTAATTCCCATCTGCTTTATTGCCTCTGTCTTAAAGAATTTGAAAGTTTCCTTATTTTCATAATTCATTTAAGAACAAGAGACCCCTGTCTGGCAGTCTGGAGCAAAGCAGACTATGCAGCTTGGAGACAGGATTCTGACAGAGCAAGTGAAAGAGCAAAGTCATGTCAGAAGGAGACAGAATGAGAGAGAAAAGAGGGGCAAGACGGTTCCAAGATACAAGAAAAAGTAGAAAAAAAAAATAACACTTAACTATAACCCCTAGGTCATTTGTAGATATATATTTCCAAATATTCAGAAAAAAAAGATACTGTATATGTCAAAAATATTTTTATGTGAAGGTGTTTAAAAGGATAAATTATAAATGTTTCATGAAGAAAAATCTTTAAAAAATCTATGTCTTTATTACACTATGGTGTGCTTATGTTTTTGTTTTGCTTTTAAAACTGATGTATAGCTTTAACATTTTGTTTCCAAAGCTGAAGATCCCCATTATTTCTCTTTGGAAAAAAAAAAAAAAAAAAAAAGCCTAACGCATTATTTTGTCATAAAACGCTCTTTTAAAATTCATGGAACTTTCATAGGCAAAGGTGCGGTTGCTCATTGTAGAGCACATTTAGTCCAATGAAGATAAATGCTTTAAACAGGTTTCTTCACTTTCATCTGAGCTTTTACCGCTAGACTCAAGGAAGAATAATTTTAACAGACATGTATACTCAATAGAAACTAAACTAAAATAATTTAAAAATATTCCCTTTTTCACCCTATTTTCAGATAGCACATGAGCCCAACACTCACTTAATTCTCGTTATGAAGATGTTTTTAGAGGGGCAAAAATATTTTGCAAGCTCTGGAATTGTTGAATGTATTCTTTTATATAACTACATTAAGAGCTTTAGATTGAAATTTATGACTAGCAAACAAAAAATAGAATATATAAAAGATATATGTAAATATACAGCATGAGATTGTACATTTTTTACTTTTTTAAAATTGTGTTCTTAAAATATTGTGTAAGAATCACTGCTCTTAGCTGTTAGAATGTTGTTAAATGCTATGGAAATACATTTAGAACCTGCATTTAAGAACAGAACAGCAAGTAGGAACCACATGGAACTTAAAACATATGGATATGAAGTCCACTTACGTAGACAAAACTTATAATTTCCAAACTGTTGTCTAGTATACAGTGATCAGTTGCTATCTGTTCAAGTCATGCCATACATTTCCCTATTTTAGGCTATTGTAATATAGAAAGAAAATGGAAAGCATTAGTTGGAACTAGAAAATGAACTGTATATTATGCTATATTTGCTAACACCAACTATTTCAATAAGTGTTGTACCATATGTAGCATTAAATATAAAATACATAAAAGAATGTACAGAAAATAGCTTTTATTGAGTAATATTATTACATTTCATTTATACTGTAGCAATATATTTGTAGGTATACTATGTAAGGGCTTTAAATAAAAGAGGTCCATTAATACTTCCTTATAAAAATTCTAGTCTGTTTCATTACTGCCCAGATGTTTTAGAGATAAATATTTATGCAGAAGGTATTTTTGAAGTCTCCTTTTGTCTGATAGAGTTTAAAAGATATTTAAATTTAGTGTTCAGAATCCACAAGTCACGGTCTAAACACACTTAGAATACTACAGCATAAACCTGTTAGCATTATTGCCAAATAAGACAGTTGGGATCCAAACCCAAGTTTTGAGCAATGTTTTTCTCAAAAAGCTGCTATCCAATGATAATAGGAAAATACACCGTGTTTTCCTAAACACACTTTTCTTTTTACATGTGCTTCATTGTTTGATTTGGTCCTGCCTAAATTTCACAAGCTAGGCCAATGAAGGCTGAATCAAAGACATTTCATCCACCAATATCATGTGTAGATATTGTGTATAGAAAATAAAATAAATTATGGCTCTAACTTCTGTGTTGCTGTTTATCTTGTTATTTTTCGGCGTTATCCTAATGTGTTTATTGAGAGCATTTTACCTTCCAGACTTCTCATGGCTAACTTTCGGTCTGTATTTTGCTCCTTAGATGTGAATATTTCTTATTAGTCTGCTTCCTGCTATGCAATGACTGCATTTCTATCATTTCTCAGTTTGTTAGTATATGTGGATAGTATTCTACTGTATAAATGATTGCAAAGTTTATCAAAAACAAATTATTCTATGTAGCTTTTCTACAGTGCTTTGCTAAACCATGTAGTACTAGTTAAGTCTTCCTTGAAAATAAAGCTACACTCTTATAGGGGACAGTTCCTGTTTACTCCCAGGAAATTTTTTTTAAAGATGACACTGAATGTTTATTGCACTTTAGTGCAGTGAAGTGGCAATAAAACCTAACATGAATCAAAGGTTGTTTATGGCAGATGCATGTGTTGCTTTACGGAGTTTAGCAAAAGCTCTTAATTTTATGTCATACTGTATTCTACTACAATAATAAAGCTAACATTATTCAATAATAAAATGGAATACTTGACTTTCTTTTCATGTTTTGAAAGGACTTTTCATTGTTCTGTTTTAATGCATTTTTACATTAGAAGCACCTAAAAGTACCAACTGCTAGCAGGAATCTAGACCACTAGAAAGAGACTAAAAAATATTAATAGTATGATCCTAAACTATGATTTAGAAAAATTATTTATAATATAAAAATGAATTAAACACCAGGTTTCTGGTATTACTGGTAGCACTTTGAAATTTATGAAATATAAACATAAGAGAATGAAAATGCTGAAATGATCATGGAATTTGCTCATATGTATTGATAGCATAGGAAATTCATTTTCCATTCTATCCTGAGACACTGATTTCATTGTTTTGAGGTTGCATCTGATCATTGTCATTTTATAAGCTGTCCTGGTGACTCTCAGTATGTAGCCAAAGTTGTTACATCGTTAATACTTTTCATTTTAACTTAAATTCCTTAAGGTTTCCATAATCAGTCACATCAAGGTAAAAAAATACTTATAATCACACAAAAGACAATAGAAAAATCATTTCAATGATAGGCATGAAACCATAATTGGTTTCTACACAACAGACCACATGAGACAAAATTTCTGTTTTAGATGATGGTCTTGCCAGAACAACATAAATTGTATCTTAACAAATAAAACCTACATATTCCCTAGTAATGACTTACAACTTTATAAAAACTCACAATTAAAAATCTTCCAACAGAATGATTTATTCAAATAAAACTGTCAACATAAACTAACTGAACCATCACATTTGTTGATTTCTGGGTTCTCATAAAAAAAAATGCAGTGAATGATGACTATTTTGGCTATCAAACCAAATTCGTGTCAAGGCTCACCACATAATTATCAAAGAAATAACAATAAGAAAGGGCTTGGCATTATTGCTGACCATCTGTTTGAAATTCATTGTACCAGTTATAACCTTCTGTTGGAGTTTACTGATATCTATCCAGCTCTTATGACCAGCAATAATAAACATCTAACTTGACTATATTATACTCACAATTCAGCAAAATAGTTTAACTTCAAACGTTGATTTAATTTAATTTAACTAAATTCTACTAACACTTACTGAGTATTTTCCCTAGACTAAATACTGTACTTGATGATGGGGATGTAGATGTAAATATGGCCATTTTCCTTGCAAAAATAATGGTTATGTTGGGGAAGGAAAACAATCGAAGATAATAAAATAAGTATTATGATAAAGTAGAGGACGCTAACCAGTATGTAAAAGAAGTGCCTCGCCACTTTTCATAAGGCTAGCAAACTGGATTTGTAGAAACTAATGATGTTCAAGTTGAAACTTGAAGTATAAGAGGAATTGAAGCCATCCTGTACCTGGACTATGAATGAGTGGACTTTGGATCTAATGCCAATTTTGTGAGTCGTTAGCCATTAAACCACAAACTAAACATTTGAAACCTCTAAGATCCCTCTAGCTACTGGGATAGATACTGAGTTTGCAGAGATGAAAATGACAATATAATCTTGGAAAGCTCAAAAGTTCATAGAGATTCAGAATGAATCTAAAATTAGAATACTTCCTGCATTACATATAATTACTGAAAAATGTGCAAGTATAGGAGACTTACCCAGGGAGTAGTATGAGGGAAGACTTTAAATAAAAGTGTTAGTCCAGCTAGCTTTTGTTTTGCTTTAGCAATATAAACTTTATTTTTTCAATACAAGCTCCTTCAATTCAAGACACCTCTGTAAGCAGTGATACCAGCCATTCAGTCCATCCCTAAATAACTGAGGCTCCTGGGAATATAACCATGTAAATGCAGTATTTTTTACATTAGTTGAAGACAATGAGTGTCCTTTAATAATTGTTAAGACCAGAAAACAAAAAATGTCAGAAAGAGACAAATCAGGACTGTAATGATTTCCGATCAAAACTCTTACAAAATTGCCCTAGTTTGATGAGAGACCTGAGCAGCATTGTTGGGGTGGAGAAGGACTCTCTGGTGAAGCTTTCTTGGCATTTTTCTGCAAAAGTTTTGGCTAACTTTTTCAAAATACTCCCATATAAGCAGATGTTATCATTCCTTGGCCTTCCAGAAAATCAACAAACACATTGCTTTGAGTGTTGCAAAAAACTGTTGTCATGACCTTTGCCCTTGACCAGTCCACTTTTGCTTTGATTGGACCACTTTGATATCTTGGTAGCATTGTTTTCAGGATTGTACTGGTAGAGTCCATTCCATCTTCTGTTACAATTTCTAGAAGAAATGCTTCAGGATCTTGGTCACATTTATTTAAATTTCCGCTGGAAGGTTTGCTCTTGTCTGCAACTGATCTGCACATAATAGTTTTGGTACCTATTAAGTGGAAACTTTGCTCAACTTTAATTTTCGGTAAAATTGTGTAAGTTGAACCAGTAGAAATGTCTATGGTGTTGGCTCTTTGTTCTGCTGTTGATTGTTAGTTGTCTTCAGAGTATGAACAAGATTAAAAATTTTATATTTGCAAATTGATGGAGATGGTCTGCTGCTATGAGCTTCATCTTCAACATTATCTTGGCCCTTCTTAAAAATAGTGATCCATTTGTGAAGTGTCTGTTCATATCTTTTGACCACTTTTTGATGGGCTTGTGTGTTTTTTTCTTGTAAATTTGTTTAATTTCTTTGTAGATTCTGGATATTAGCCCTTTGTCAGATGGGTAGATTGCAAAAATTTTCTCCCATTCTGTATGTTGCCTATTCACGCTGATGGTAGTTTCTTTTGCTGTGCAGAAGCCATTTATTTTAATTAGATCCCATTGGTCTATTTTGGCTTTTGTTGCCATTGCTTTTGGTGTTTTAGTCATGAAGTCTTTGCCCATGCCTATAGCCTGAATGGTATTGCCTAGGTTTTCTTTAGTTTTTATGGTTTTAGGTCTTATGTTAAGTCTTTAATCCATCTTGAGTTAATGTTTGCATAAGGTATAAGGAAGGGATCCAGTTTCAGTTTTCTACAGATGGCTAGCCAGTTTTCCCAGCACCATTTATTAAATAGGGAATCCTTCCCACATTGCTTGTCGTTGTCAGGTTTGTCAAAGGTCAGATGGTTGTAGATGTGTGGTGTTATTTCTGAGTCCTCTGTTCTGTTCCATTGGTCTATATATCTGTTTTGGTACCAGTACCACGCTATTTTGGTTACTGTAGCCTTATTCTATAGTCTGAAGTCAGGTAGTGTGATGCCTCCAGCTTTGTTCTTTTTGCTTAGGACTATCTTGGCTATGCAGGCTCTTTTTTGGTTCCATATGAACTTTAAAGGTTTTTTTTTTCCAATTCTGTGAAGAAAGTCATTGGTAGCTTGATGGGGATAGCATTGAATCTACAAATTACCTTGGGCAGTATGGCCATTTTCACAATACTGATTCTTCCTATCCATGAGCATGGAATATTCTTCCATTTGTTTAAGTCCTCTTTTATTTTGTTGAGCAGAGGTTTGTAGTTCTCCTTGAGGAGGTCTTTCACATCCCTTGTATGTTGGATTCCTAGGTATTTTATTCTCTTTGTAGCAATTGTGAATGGGAGTTCACTCATGTTTGGGCCCTCTGTCTGTTATTGGTGTATAGGAATGCTTGTGATTTTTGCACACTGATTTTGTATCTTGATACTTTGCTGAAGTTGCTTATCAGCTTAAGGAGATTTTGGGCTGAGACAATGGGATTTTCTAAATATACAATCATGTCATCTGCGAACAGAGACAATTTGACTTCTTCTTTTCCTAACTTAATACCCTTTATTTCCTTCTCTTGCCTGATTTCCCTGGCCAGAACTTCCAACACTATGTTGAATAGGAGTAGTGAGAGAGGGCATCCTTGACTTGTGCTGGTTTGCAAAGGGAATGCTTCCAGTTTTTGCCCATTCAGTATGACATTGGATGTGGGTTTGTCATAAGTAGCTCTTATTATTTTGAGATACATTCCATCAATACTTAGTTTATTGAGAGTTTTTAGAACGAAGGGCTGTTGAATTTTGTCTAAGGCCTTTTCTGCATCTATTGAGACAATCATGTGGCTTTTGTCCTTGGTTCTGTTTATGTGATGGATTACATTTACTGATTTGTGTATATTGAACCAACCTTGTATGCCAGGGATGAACCTGACTTGATCGTGGTGGATAAGTTTTTTGATGTGCTGCTGGATTCGATTTGCCAGTATTTTACTGAGGATTTTTGCATCTATGTTCATCAGGGATATTGGTCTAAAATTTTCTTTTTCTGTTGTGTCTCTGCCAGGCTTTGGTATCAAGATTATGCTGGCCTCATAAAATGAGTTAGGGAGAAGTCCCTCTTTTTCTATTAATTGCAATAGTTTCAGAAGGAATGGTACCAGCTCCTCTTTGTACCTCTGTTCGAATTAGGCTGTGAATCCATCTGATCCTGGACTTTTTTTCGTTGGTAGGCTATTAATTATTGCCTCAATTTCAGAGCCTGTTATTGGCCTCTTCAGAGATTGGACTTTTTCCTGGTTTAGTCTTGGGGGTGTTTATGTGTCCAGGAATGTATCCATTTCTTCTAGATTTGATTCTTCTCTCTTTTCTCTTTATTAGTCTTGCTAGCGGTGTATCAATTTCGTTGATCTTTTCAAAAAACCAGCTCCTGGATTCATTGATTTTTTTTTTTGAAGTGTTTTTTTTTTGTGTGTGTGTGTGTGTGTGTGTGTGTGTGTCTCTATCTCCTTCAGTTCTGCTTTGGTCTTAGTTATTTCTTGTCTTCTGTTAGCTTTTGAATTTGTTTGCTCTTGTTTCTCTAATTATTTTAATTGTGATATTAGGGTGTCGATTTTAGATCTTTCCTGCTTTCTCTTGTAGGCATTTAGTGCTATAAATTTCCTTCTACACATTGCTTTGAATGTGTCCCAGAGATTCTGGTACGTTGTATCTTTGTTTGCATTGGTTTCAAAGAACATCTTTATATCTGCATTTATGCAGACAACAGACACATGAAAAGATGCTTATCAGAGAAATGCAAATCAAAACCACGATGAGAT